GGTGCTATTATTACTTAGCTTTAGAAAAATAAGCAGTTCAGTTTACTTTTCTTTTTATACGTAGTTATAACAAAAGGCTGCGATTTAATGAAGTTTAATATTTTGTTTGACCATTGTAATATCTTTTCATTACGGAAGGTTCTATAAATATGAAGTAATGAATGATATGTTACATATAAAATATTACGTTGTATGTGTCGGAACTAGTATAGTTTCATTCTTAGGGTTCCTTGGACCAGACGTAGGACAAGTCTCAAGGATTCTGGGAAGGTAAAATTCTGTACATCAATAATATGAACGAAACAGCACTAAAACGAATGTCAGATAGAAAAGTAAATAAATGTTTTAATATTTATATCGTCATTTTTAATAAGATTATTTTCAATGAACTTCATAGTTAAGTATTGAAAATAATGATAACTTTCAAAGGTATTGATTGTCAAGAACCCTTGTAGTACAAGCGAGAGTTTATTCCGATTTCTGTTTTCTTAGTATTAATATTAGTCTCTTTATTTTGTTTGTGGAGCAACTTGTTATCTTGGGACTCGTCTAAAGGATTTCATCTTAATCCATTTTTTCTTTCTTTCTAGAAATATCAACGAATTCAAGATTCTATTTATTTTATTTTTTTGGTGTTAACAGTAATATTTTGTTTCTGTCTCTTGTATTTTACCAATTTAGTGTTTGATATATTCAAGTCATTAAAAACATTAATGGGATAAGTTGACAGTTTTAACTTTGTTATTGTAATAGTATTTGCTGAAATAAAGACATTAAAAAGGTTGCGTTACATTATTCGTTTTAAAAAGTCTGTGCGTAATATTGAAACAAAATCTTATTGCCTAAATTGTAACAAATTTTACAATTTTCCGACCAGAAAGGTTCGTTACCGCTAATCTCTAAATAGACTGGTTTGATTTTCTCCCCGTTATCACTAGCAGATAGCAAATTTTGTAAGAATTTTTGTTTTAATTTATCAATAATATTTTTATTGACAAATATATTAGAAGTACAGTTCTGTAGAATTTAATAGCGTCACCAATTAAGTCACAAAATATAATAATATCATAAAAATCACTATATTATGTAAATCTGTACTTTAAATACATAATTAATAAGGTATCGTAAATTCATATAGCTGTAAAATACTACGTAGACGAGGTCGGGTCACAGCTAGTTTAAAAGATAAAAATGAATGCCAATGATTATCGAGGTGTCCGTTACAACATGTTGGCAGAAATATTTTGTACAGATTTGGATCGTGTCTAAGCTATAATTAAGGAATTGAATTCGTAATAAGGTATAATTATCTATAAAAACCACTTATTTACAAAGTCAAATTGTTTTTACGGAAAATCGTTGACTTTTAACGACGTTAAGAATGTGTGATGAAATCTTAGCTGGTTGTTATTGCAATTTTTAAGTTAGTGTAAACTAGGTAATAGAATTATAAATATCAAATGCCTTATTTATGTACATTTATGTTAGAATGCTAAATTATATTTTCATATTATGCAAATAAGAGTAAATTAGTTAGAAAATTTAAAATAAACAATCCATTGAGATCAGCACACAAACGTTTAAAATGTATGGAATTATCATAGCTATCAAATTGGTGCACCAATTTTCCACAAGCTAACACAATTATTCTTCCATCCACTGAAAATTCTATTCAGCATTCGGACATAAAAAGACTTTTAACTCCAGTGCGTTTTTTGTCGCGTTTTATTTGACTGTTAACCTGCATTGCTACCACAAACAGACGACAAAATCGTACTGTCAAACAAACCGATTCGTGTACCGATTTTCTATACAATGTTTTATAAAAAAGATCTAAAACCTTTAATAGTACATCAATATTCATCGAACGTGTTTTTTTTTTTCATACGATTCTATATTAAATATTTTTTTTTATTTTAGTTATTGACAAAAAAATTGTTTACAACAACCGTGAATTGAATTATATTCTTTTCCGGTTTCAAACTTACGAGGTGAATGAATTCTTAGTTCTATTTTTAACTTTTCGACGTCAATTAAAGTTATAATGCTTTGAACTCAGAATACGGTTTAGTAATACTTATGCGTATCAATGTTTTATTTCAATCAATCAATAATTTATCTGTAACAATTGAATTACCCGTCATAAAATTTCATTATTATAATTTTTATATAAATTTATCACTTAAATATCCTTAGCGACATAATAATTAAATATGTAGTCAAACTATTTACCCGACGAGGCGTTTCTTTTTTAGTTTATTCCTGTTGATTTTTGTACAATTTTTTTTATTGCCTTTTCAAGAGAGCCATATTTCTTTTGTGACATTCTCAACGTTAGCTAGCAGAAATTTATTAAAACATCAAGTAACATAGTTATTGTGCACTTACAAAGAAGATTAATAAATAAATACAACAATTAAACAACCAGTTGTCACTTTATTAATGTGATGTCTTAAAAGATTTATTTATTTTAGAATTTTCTTATTCCAATCTTGATTTATAAAATAATAATAATTCTAACAATGATAAACGTTTTTTATGTAAAATTAAGGCAAAAAATTTCGAGACTGTTTGAAAATTTATACAGGGTGACTGGTGAATTACTATCAATATTTAAGGAGAATACTCGGTACATGATTCTCATTCGAATTATGTAAAAAAAATAGGTACTTAATTTTTGACAAAATTTCCGTATAAATAAGTAAAGTGTTGACACGTTCCAAGTGTTCAAGTGTGGACGCATGCGGCGGCGTGCTGATACAACACTACGTCACGACACGCGTATGTGTGAGAGTCAGTGTATACCTAATCTGCAGGGTGTTCACACGATGCGTAATTAATTACATAACTTTTGGTTAACTTTACTTAGATGTTTATTAATATTTATGTTATATTATTTTTTATTTTGTCATATATGATCGTCAAATATCACGTCCTCAAATATCGATAGTAATTCACCAGTCACCCTGTATATCAATAAAGTAAAGGTATATCTACAAACAACTAGGTACAAGTTCACAATTCAAATTTTTAAATATTGAAGTTAAATTTTGGTAGGTTAATCTATATAATAAAAGCTATACATATAATAAAATTGTAGAAAAGTGCTGTCTGTACATTGAAAATAAAAATAAAAAAAAATAGCAGGGGTTATTGTTATGTCGATGTCGAACCCAAAAATGTAATTAACTTTTTTGTCTGTTTGTCTGTTCACGCTAATCTCAGAAACGGCTGATCCGAGTTGGATGCGGTTTTCACGAATATATTGTGGTATGCTTCAGTTATGCTTTAGTGTTAGTTTCATGTCAATCGGATCATAAATAAAAAAGTTATGTCAAATTAAAGATTCATATTAAAAAAAAAACGCTGCTCATAGTCACTATTCCACGCGAACGAAGTCGCGGGCACAGCTAGTGAATAATGTGTATCATAAAATTAAAACAAAATAATTTGTATATTATAAATATTCAGTCTACACAATCAAATGCGTAAATCTCCACAGATATATTCAGTTAAGTCGTCGAATCAAATTTTGTTTTATTATTATTAAGATACCGACTATAATGATAGTTGTTTTTAAGTAATAAATATATAGCCTGTAGAACATTTTTTAAGCCACCGGATATTACTCATAGTGAAATTCCTTAAGGCAGCAATTAAAAATCAAAAAGCTACAAGGTTAGCAAAATTATTAAAATATTAAATAAAGTTTTAACTTATAAGTTAATAGTTTTGTATAATACTAAATAATTAATAATATTACGTGAATTTTAATATATTTACTATTAATAAGAGTTGCATTTTCATAGGTAATTTATTCACAACGTCTCGTATAATTGTTTTTATTTTAAAGCGTTTTTATATAAAACCAGAGAGTCCTCTGGTTATAAAATATTTGAAATGTTTTTTATGATGTCATGAACACTAATAATAATTTATCTAATTGCTTTAAAGACTTCACTAGAAAGATGAAACATGTTTTTTCTTAATTGTAAATCGTCAAGATCTATTAGCTCATTAAGTATAGCATATCTGAATTCCAAAACTGTTATTTTTTTAAAATCATCTTCTTGTATATGAATAATTTATATATTAAATTAAGGGTATATATTTATTTTAAAAAATCTTTACCTTCTACAAGATCCATATTCTTACATACATGTATAAAGCAATTGTTTCATAATATTTGTAATTATTTAACAATTAAATTGTAATTCATTACAGCCAAATATATATCCTGTCATAAAAATATAATGAGAAATGATATTATCTTATGAAGTACCGTTTAAGGTACGTAAAACAAATGTTAAGATTTAAGTACACATATAAGGATAATTCGTATATCATAGGGTTGCCACGATTTAAAAAATCTCTTTACGTGAATCTCCTACAAAATATACATTATTATAGATAAAATCTTCTTAAAAACTGTCCAGTTATACATTTTTTAATATCGTATTTAGAAAAAAACTAACGATTACTGGTATATTAATTATCGTATTGAATATTTTATAATTGCAGTAAAATTATCGGAATTAACAACAAAACTGCGGAATTAAAAATAGTTTATAAATTGCTTTATAAACATTATTATACATTAAGTGTTGCTAAGCTAGCTTTTAAATTTTGAATTAGATTTTTATAAAAAAATATAGAATACTTTTATATCTTTTATATTAAAGTTTTTGAAATTTAAATTTGAAATAAATAGAAAAGAGTTATTATACTGACTAATATAAAACTAGTTTTAAAATATTATTAAATTTTTAAAAGAAACAACATTAGCGTCTATAACCTCAAAAACTAATGTAAAACGAATTGTCAATTAAAAATGAGTTAAGCGGTTCTAATTCCATTTAAATTATTAATAAACAACGATACATTTAATATTAATTTATAATTTGTGTGGTTGTGGAAAAAAACATTTTAATGATTTAATTGAATTAATTTAAATTATTGTTCTGGAATATTTAGATTTGTTTTAAGATTATTGTTCTTACCTTCGCTTGCATTAACAGTGTATCCGACATCTTCGAAAATGATGTGAACTGGGGGACGTTTTGCCATACGATGGAGAGCCTTTAATGTTGAGCCAGCTCGTTCTAAGGCAGCTGGGGTCCAATGGTCGCCTACAGGATTCATTGAAGGGACCTCAATCGAAGTGGATGTATGAGCAAATGAAGCACCAGCAATCGCTCGACGAACCAACGGCACATTGGACATTTTTTCAAATTAATTCCGTTTTAACATATAACACAGTTACAAATAAATTTGAATTAATAATTATTTCGTTTTTATTAATAATGTTTAAACATTAATAATGTTTTTATTACATATAGTAATTATTGAAAAATATTATGCACGATTTTACAAAGGAGCACATGCGTACGCGCATTTTATATTGCAGCCAGAGACCAACTAACAAGATGAATTCGAAACGTCGGGTAACTTGTTTACAATTGACTCAAATAATAATTATAGATTTTTTTCTTCCGTATAATAAAGAAATATTATCAGAATATTTTTTAAACTTTATTAGAAGTTATTTACGAATATTAAGTCTATTAAAAGAATTACTCAGGGTAAAAAAGCTGTACACGGTATTTTAAATAAATTATAGTGACTGGGTTATTTATAGTGCTAATATTAAAAAATATTTAGTATAGTTCGAATATTTTTTTTTCTCCGTGTTTTTTAAATGTTATTTCTTTTCAGAATATCCTTTTATATATATCTTATTATTGTTCTTAAATATATCTGTCACCAAGTGAGAATTTCGTTTCAAAAATGAATACCAAAACTGTTACATTACTCAAAATATATCTTTGCGTTCAGCAAAGAAAACAGATGTATTTTCATTCAGGTATTCCATTTATAGTATGTAAAAGTTAATTTATACCAAAAGAGGCAAAACCAAAACACGATAATATTTGTGGTTAGGTGTAAAACCCGGTCATTTATCTCATAATATTGGGAATAGATACTAAAACTTCGAATAGGCATGAAATATAGTACGAGTTTTTAGTGCATGTTTACGATTAATAACGCAAAAAGCCGTCTATCAATAAAAAAAAACTTTTCTATCATCTTTTAAGAAACTTTTTTAAAGCTGTCACGACTTATTAACAATTTCTATAATTGGCATTTTGTTAAAAGTAATTGATACCTTATCCCCGGTATGACTGATCAATAAATTGAATGATTTATTTACCAAATCGAGTAAGGGCACGATACTGTAATTGGCAAAGTGTCTGAGGTGATATCCCGGATGTGCGACATAGTTTTAATCTAACTATCAAGATAGTGTCAATGGTTTTTTTTAATCCTTTTAATTTCTATTTACTGTATGTTGAGTCTTTATTCCTTACAAAATAATTAATAATCCTAATATCATTAATAACTATTCTAGTATTATTACTTTACTAAGACTTTTTTTGTCATTTGATGTACAGATATATTTCTATTAAATCTTTATATTTACTTAATAAGTTTTACTTCTTGAGTTTTAACAGTATAATTTATTTAGAAATAATTTTAAATACCTGAGTAACGTTACTAAACCGGTTTCTTAGCTAGAAAAGGTAATTTACAAATTCTAACGAATTAAAAAATAAATATAGAATCAAGTTTGTATAAGCACAGTTATGGATTGGTATCAATTAAGCTTCTGGGACCGCCAGCATCGAAAAAAAGGTGGAAAGAGAGAACAGGTCAGAATTCGTTTACTTCACAATTAAATTAATCTCCGAATGGATCATGGTATCTTTTCACCGCTTGGAGAAGTATCTACTTTCATCTTCATTTTAACTTTCCAGATTGTATCCTTGAAATAAATGAGATATATTGACTTGTTTAGTTTTTATTTCATAAGAACATAAGTAATGTGAAGTTTTGAATGTCTTGTTCTACATGAATTGCCTTGTTCTACATTAAGGAAGAAGAAGAAGCTATCTGGGGTCACTTCTATTGTCACAATTTAATAGTAGGGAGAATAATTACACGTTGGAGGAATAAATCAATAAGATTCGTCAGCTATGATCGTATAAAAAAAACCAAATAAAACGAAAAAAAGACAAAGAAATCCTACGGTGATGCCTTTCCAGTAATCTAAATTTATACACACAAATACATATATATCGTCTTCGCTCATATAGTTTAAAAATGTTGAATAATAACACAATAGTGGAAGAGTGATATTTTATCTTCTTCTTCTTCCTGGCAATTTCCCAGCTTTAGCCAGGGTTTGCCTTACATGTTATAAATAGTTTTGGCTAATTATTTTTATGACCAGCTGCCGGCCTGATATCAACCTTCTTTGGGTATGCATTAATCACCACACTTACTCAAGATGGGTTGGTAATTTTAAATTTACAATGGCGAAATTATAAATCCAGGTTCCCTCACGATATTTTCCTTTACCGTCTGTCAGTGGTGTCTAAATACTTTCAGAAAGTACATATGACTGGAAAAAATCACATTGGTACTTGCCAGGATCGAACCCGCTCCCTCATGCATGAGAGAAGGGGCTTTAACCACTAGGCCACCATAGACTTCTAGAGTTCTACTTTCTAAGTACATATAAACCACAAGTGTATATTTTTTGGGAAATCTAATAGGAAGGCTTTTGTAACTCGGAATATATGTATAAGAATTCACATCACATATATGTACATACTTTTTAATCTTTTTAAAAATGCATACTATTATTTTAAACAGTAGTTTATATTACACTTACTATTTCAATCAAGTACATTTTTAAACAATAACTTTAGGAATCAATTAGCAAAAAATAGTCAATTTGTACGAAGCAAAGACTTGAATTGTTTTATTAAAGAAATAGATTGAATAGGATCTCTTTGAAAACCTTTTGAACTTTTTATTTGAATACCTTAACTAAATATCTTTTAAGTTTTCATTTTACAGTTTTTTAAGAATAAGTTTTTCTTGATAAAAATATCGTTGAAATAAAAACGGATCTCCTCAACCTTATAATAATGACTTTTTAAAATTCAGAATTTCATTCTTTGTGTCCGTGTGTTATATACTAAATTATTATTAGTTTCAAACATCATTGCTATTGTTACTTTTTCCCTGTCCCCTACTACAACGGTGTCCTACCCGTGGAACGTCATCAAATCATGAGTAATTAATTATAATACACATCGAAAATGTATTAAAAAACATTCATTACAGTCTATTTACAACTTACACAACATTTCGTTACTTTTATATAAGTAACCTTATTAAGCTCTCGTTATCTGAATATATTAATATATTTGAAACCAAGTATCGACACTATGTCTATAAATTTACACATATTGACTAGATACAAATTTAAATATATAAAAAAGGACTTACAAGAATATATAATATTAGTATGCGTATTCTTTATTCTTTCAGAATATTAAATATGCTAATAATAGTTTTTAAACAACTACCTCGATTCTAAATGTCATTTTGAGCTTTGTTCAATAGCCCGAAACTGTTTCTGCGTTTTACTCTTGCCGCTCGAACAGTTAATGGCCAGAAGGATTTTATTCACTTCAGTTTGCACTTTTTTCAATTAGACCTATTGTTCTCCGGTAGAGTTACTTTCTAAGTGATTATGTTTGATTGTTCCATTCACAATAGTTCACGCGGACACGTTTGGTTGGTTTTATTGTTGGCATTTAATTTTATCCCAATGAATGATTTTAGGTTTTATTTTTATATCCGTCTATGTTATAATTTTTTTTATAAGAGTATTTAGACACCATTGATAGGCGGTGAAGGAAAACATCTTAAGGAAAAATGGACTTATATAATTTCCAATTATAAGTTTAAAATCACCAACCCATCTTGAGCAAGCGTGGTGATTAATGCTCAAATCTTCTCTATGTGAGACTTTTGCCTTTGATCAACAGTCGGCTCTAGTGATGTTATACATTTTAAATTTTTTCATTAAGTTGATGATTTTTTTAACGGAATATGAAAGTTAGTACTGAAAATTGTGGAAAAAGCTGGTTGTCATAAAATATGTTTGTATTAGATAAAAGTTTTAAACACACATAATATCATGCAATGTAAAAACATGACCTTAATATAGAATTCTTTTTAATGACAAGCAATCCATTTTTAACGTATTTAGTGTCAGAAATACAAATATTAAATTATGGGTTGTTTGCGTTATTGCTGTCACAGTAAGTATTATCTTAATAATATAGTTGGTTTTTGTTTCCGTTATTATATAATATACAATGACAAATAAAATTGGGATAATAGCTGGCTATTAAAGGGTGAAGTGACCGCGACGTCTCTTCAGGGAACATTTTTTTATTATCCATAATATAATAATAGTTCATAATTCAATTGTTTTTATTCTATCTATAAAATAACATAAATTCATTGTATTGAAATTTAAAACATTATAAAAAGTTTCTTTTAAAAAGTTATATATCATTTTATTTTCATTCCGATGCTCTCGTAATAAATCTCTGCCATTTGTAATAAGTCTTTTCCTGCCAGTCCTAATAGATAGAGACTTGAATCTTGAAAGAAACATAAAAAAGATAAAAATATACAAAGAGAAAATAAAAAAAAGGCGAGCCGCAAAATGAGAGTTTTCAATTAGGGGCATTGTGTACAGGAAAAAGTTTGATTTATTCGTTAATACCGGACCTTGTTAAGCGCAATATCCACATGCCCTATATAGCTATATATTACAGGTAATGCGAACCAATTCATATATGTATGATAGAAAACGAAACTAGGTTAATATTCTATTGCCATATTATAGCAGTATATATTGTTGTCCACATTAATAAATTTTAGTTTAACTTATCTTGTTTTAAAAACTAACATGATTTGAAGTATATTGCTATTTGGTAAATATATATTTTGACGTTAACACCGTCTGATTTACTGCTGAAGGCAGGCAGGAAGTAGAAGGCAAACATCGTAAATTACGAAAACAGTGGAAACGAAAAATACATTCATTTTTAACATTCATAACACAACGAATACCTTTTCTCTTATTCGACGGCCTATATTATTATTTACTTTCTTAAAAAAATAAAGGCATGTTAATTCAGTTCAGTTTCATTATGAAATAATTTTACAGAACGATTTTATAAAAGAAATATTAATAAATTCTTTAGTTAATTAGGTCTAAAATTTGGTTTTGCTTTTTTAGTACTAGGTATGTAAACAGATGGGTTAAACTAAAACAAAATCATAAATTGATAAGAATGGTAAATTATTAAAGAATTACAATTCTTTAATTTAACAAATTTCAAAGATTTAAGGAACCATTTCTTTCGACGCTTTAGACAAGCTGATTAAAAGCCTATAGTATATGTACGAAGACTTGAAGTTCACAAAATATTTTTATATAGGAATTAAATTTCGGTACAATTTTATTTAGTCATGCTAAAAACAATTATAATAAGTAATAAAATTAAAAATCAAACTGTTATTGGTAGTGCAAAGTTAATTTCGAAAGTAAATTGGCTAAATATGACACCTGTTTTATATGACGGTCATAATATGCCCTTCTGTTAAACAGTTAAAATTTTTCTGGAACAATTAGATTTATTTGTTCTTACCTTCGCTTGCGTTAACAGTGTATCCGACATCTTCAAATATGATGTGAACTGGGGGACGTTTTGCCATACGATGGAGAGCCTTTAATGTTGAGCCAGCTCGTTCTAAGGCAGCTGGGGTCCAATGGTCGCCTACAGGATTCATTGAAGGGACCTCAATCGAAGTGGATGTATGAGCAAATGAAGCACCAGCAATCGCTCGACGAACCAATGGCACATTAGACATTTTTTCAAATTAATTCCGTCTTAACATATAACACAGTTACAAATAAATTTGAATTAATAATTATTTTGTTTTAATTAATAATGTTTAAACATTAATAATGTTTTTATTACATAAAGTAATTATTGAAAAATATTTTGCACGAATTTACAAAGGAGCACATGCGTACGCGCATTTTATATTGCAGCCAGAGACCAACTAACAAGATGAATTCGAAACGTCGGGTAACTTGTTTACAATTGACTCAAATAATAATTATAGATTTTTTTCTTCCGTATAATAAAGAAATATTATCAGAATATTTTTTAAACTTTTTTAGAAGTTATTTACGAATATTAAGTCTATTAAAAGAATTACTCAGGGTAAAAAAGCTGTACACGGTATTTTAAATAAATTATAGTGACTGGGTTATTTATAGTGCTAATATTAAAAAATATTTAGTATAGTTCGAATATTTTTTTTTCTCCGTGTTTTTTAAATGTTATTTCTTTTCAGAATATCCTTTTATATATATCTTATTATTGTTCTTAAATATATCTGTCACCAAGTGAGAATTTCGTTTCAAAAATGAATACCAAAACTGTTACATTACTCAAAATATATCTTTGCGTTCAGCAAAGAAAACAGATGTATTTTCATTCAGGTATTCCATTTATAGTATGTAAAAGTTAATTTATACCAAAAGAGGCAAAACCAAAACACGATAATATTTGTGGTTAGGTGTAAAACCCGGTCATTTATCTCATAATATTGGGAATAGATACTAAAACTTCGAATAGGCATGAAATATAGTACGAGTTTTTAGTGCATGTTTACGATTAATAACGCAAAAAGCCGTCTATCAATAAAAAAAAACTTTTCTATCATCTTTTAAGAAACTTTTTTAAAGCTGTCACGACTTATTAACAATTTCTATAATTGGCATTTTGTTAAAAGTAATTGATACCTTATCCCCGGTATGACTGATCAATAAATTGAATGATTTATTTACCAAATCGAGTAAGGGCACGATACTGTAATTGGCAAAGTGTCTGAGGTGATATCCCGGATGTGCGACATAGTTTTAATCTAACTATCAAGATAGTGTCAATGGTTTTTTTTAATCCTTTTAATTTCTATTTACTGTATGTTGAGTCTTTATTCCTTACAAAATAATTAATAATCCTAATATCATTAATAACTATTCTAGTATTATTACTTTACTAAGACTTTTTTTGTCATTTGATGTACAGATATATTTCTATTAAATCTTTATATTTACTTAATAAGTTTTACTTCTTGAGTTTTAACAGTATAATTTATTTAGAAATAATTTTAAATACCTGAGTAACGTTACTAAACCGGTTTCTTAGCTAGAAAAGGTAATTTACAAATTCTAACGAATTAAAAAATAAATATAGAATCAAGTTTGTATAAGCACAGTTATGGATTGGTATCAATTAAGCTTCTGGGACCGCCAGCATCGAAAAAAGGTGGAAAGAGAGAACAGGTCAGAATTCGTTTACTTCACAATTAAATTAATCTCCGAATGGATCATGGTATCTTTTCACCGCTTGGAGAAGTATCTACTTTCATCTTCATTTTAACTTTCCAGATTGTATCCTTGAAATAAATGAGATATATTGACTTGTTTAGTTTTTATTTCATAAGAACATAAGTAATGTGAAGTTTTGAATGTCTTGTTCTACATGAATTGCCTTGTTCTACATTAAGGAAGAAGAAGAAGCTATCTGGGGTCACTTCTATTGTCACAATTTAATAGTAGGGAGAATAATTACACGTTGGAGGAATAAATCAATAAGATTCGTCAGCTATGATCGTATAAAAAAAACCAAATAAAACGAAAAAAAGACAAAGAAATCCTACGGTGATGCCTTTCCAGTAATCTAAATTTATACACACAAATACATATATATCGTCTTCGCTCATATAGTTTAAAAATGTTGAATAATAACACAATAGTGGAAGAGTGATATTTTATCTTCTTCTTCTTCCTGGCAATTTCCCAGCTTTAGCCAGGGTTTGCCTTACATGTTATAAATAGTTTTGGCTAATTATTTTTATGACCAGCTGCCGGCCTGATATCAACCTTCTTTGGGTATGCATTAATCACCACACTTACTCAAGATGGGTTGGTAATTTTAAATTTACAATGGCGAAATTATAAATCCAGGTTCCCTCACGATATTTTCCTTTACCGTCTGTCAGTGGTGTCTAAATACTTTCAGAAAGTACATATGACTGGAAAAAATCACATTGGTACTTGCCAGGATCGAACCCGCTCCCTCATGCATGAGAGAAGGGGCTTTAACCACTAGGCCACCATAGACTTCTAGAGTTCTACTTTCTAAGTACATATAAACCACAAGTGTATATTTTTTGGGAAATCTAATAGGAAGGCTTTTGTAACTCGGAATATATGTATAAGAATTCACATCACATATATGTACATACTTTTTAATCTTTTTAAAAATGCATACTATTATTTTAAACAGTAGTTTATATTACACTTACTATTTCAATCAAGTACATTTTTAAACAATAACTTTAGGAATCAATTAGCAAAAAATAGTCAATTTGTACGAAGCAAAGACTTGAATTGTTTTATTAAAGAAATAGATTGAATAGGATCTCTTTGAAAACCTTTTGAACTTTTTATTTGAATACCTTAACTAAATATCTTTTAAGTTTTCATTTTACAGTTTTTTAAGAATAAGTTTTTCTTGATAAAAATATCGTTGAAATAAAAACGGATCTCCTCAACCTTATAATAATGACTTTTTAAAATTCAGAATTTCATTCTTTGTGTCCGTGTGTTATATACTAAATTATTATTAGTTTCAAACATCATTGCTATTGTTACTTTTTCCCTGTCCCCTACTACAACGGTGTCCTACCCGTGGAACGTCATCAAATCATGAGTAATTAATTATAATACACATCGAAAATGTATTAAAAAACATTCATTACAGTCTATTTACAACTTACACAACATTTCGTTACTTTTATATAAGTAACCTTATTAAGCTCTCGTTATCTGAATATATTAATATATTTGAAACCAAGTATCGACACTATGTCTATAAATTTACACATATTGACTAGATACAAATTTAAATATATAAAAAAGGACTTACAAGAATATATAATATTAGTATGCGTATTCTTTATTCTTTCAGAATATTAAATATGCTAATAATAGTTTTAAACAACTACCTCGATTCTAAATGTCATTTTGAGCTTTGTTCAATAGCCCGAAACTGTTTCTGCGTTTTACTCTTGCCGCTCGAACAGTTAATGGCCAGAAGGATTTTATTCACTTCAGTTTGCACTTTTTTCAATTAGACCTATTGTTCTCCGGTAGAGTTACTTTCTAAGTGATTATGTTTGATTGTTCCATTCACAATAGTTCACGCGGACACGTTTGGTTGGTTTTATTGTTGGCATTTAATTTTATCCCAATGAATGATTTTAGGTTTTATTTTTATATCCGTCTATGTTATAATTTTTTTTATAAGAGTATTTAGACACCATTGATAGGCGGTGAAGGAAAACATCTTAAGGAAAAATGGACTTATATAATTTCCAATTATAAGTTTAAAATCACCAACCCATCTTGAGCAAGCGTGGTGATTAATGCTCAAATCTTCTCTATGTGAGACTTTTGCCTTTGATCAACAGTCGGCTCTAGTGATGTTATACATTTTAAATTTTTTCATTAAGTTGATGATTTTTTTAACGGAATATGAAAGTTAGTACTGAAAATTGTGGAAAAAGCTGGTTGTCATAAAATATGTTTGTATTAGATAAAAGTTTTAAACACACATAATATCATGCAATGTAAAAACATGACCTTAATATAGAATTCTTTTTAATGACAAGCAATCCATTTTTAACGTATTTAGTGTCAGAAATACAAATATTAAATTATGGGTTGTTTGCGTTATTGCTGTCACAGTAAGTATTATCTTAATAATATAGTTGGTTTTTGTTTCCGTTATTATATAATATACAATGACAAATAAAATTGGGATAATAGCTGGCTATTAAAGGGTGAAGTGACCGCGACGTCTCTTCAGGGAACATTTTTTATTATCCATAATATAATAATAGTTCATAATTCAATTGTTTTTATTCTATCTATAAAATAACATAAATTCATTGTATTGAAATTTAAAACATTATAAAAAGTTTCTTTTAAAAAGTTATATATCATTTTATTTTCATTCCGATGCTCTCGTAATAAATCTCTGCCATTTGTAATAAGTCTTTTCCTGCCAGTCCTAATAGATAGAGACTTGAATCTTGAAAGAAACATAAAAAAGATAAAAATATACAAAGAGAAAATAAAAAAGGCGAGCCGCAAAATGAGAGTTTTCAATTAGGGGCATTGTGTACAGGAAAAAGTTTGATTTATTCGTTAATACCGGACCTTGTTAAGCGCAATATCCACATGCCCTATATAGCTATATATTACAGGTAATGCGAACCAATTCATATATGTATGATAGAAAACGAAACTAGGTTAATATTCTATTGCCATATTATAGCAGTATATATTGTTGTCCACATTAATAAATTTTAGTTTAACTTATCTTGTTTTAAAAACTAACATGATTTGAAGTATATTGCTATTTGGTAAATATATATTTTGACGTTAACACCGTCTGATTTACTGCTGAAGGCAGGCAGGAAGTAGAAGGCAAACATCGTAAATTACGAAAACAGTGGAAACGAAAAATACATTCATTTTTAACATTCATAACACAACGAATACCTTTTGTCTTATTCGAAGGCCTATATTATTATTTACTTTCTTAAAAAAATAAAGGCATATTAATTCAGTTCAGTTTCATAATGAAATAATTTTACGGAACGATTTTATAAAAGAAATATTAATCAATTCTTTAGTTAATTAGGTCTAAAATTTGGTTTGCTTTTTTAGCACTAGGTATGTAAACAGATGGGTTAAACTAAAACAAAATCATAAATTGATTAGAATG